AAATAGTGTACATATCCAGCGAAAGGGAATTGGTTCCATAATCGTGGAAAATTGGTTCAATAAGTTTATCCAGTGGAATATATGCATGAATTTTTTTTAAAACCTTCCATTTAGAAGAATAGTTAATAAGAACATATTAATTTAAGTGGAAAAAAACCCCCAGAGTAGATAATAATATGTACAAACTGAATTTAAAATATAAAAATAAGTTATTTTAAAATATTTTAAAAATAATTTCCCCCCCTGCAGACAGATATTACAGATCTCAGACTTAAACAGGTACAACAGGTTGCATGCAGCCCAAATGGCTGAAACAAGGCCTAGAGAATTAGTTTGCACATACAGCCATACTCTTGGCTTCCCACCTAATAACACCAAATCAGATCCTCTATTTACAAAGATGAGCTGAAGATGAATATGATGAAAATGTTACCTTGTGCCAGCCTTTTAAAGGCCATTTTCTTTTCTTCAGCATAAAGCCTTCATGTTTGTCTGGTCTCTGGACATTGGTTTGGCCTATTTTCAGCCCTTCTATAATTTCCCAGCTGTCAGCTTCCTGAGAGAAAAGGAGAAAGGCAAATCACAGGTTTCTTGGTGCTTGATGACACACTTACAACAGACTCTAAGTAGAAGTTGCTTTTGAAGCAGCGTTGGACCCCTGGAAGTATGAGCAACATTCTGGAGCAAATTCCAACATCAGACCCAGCTAAGCATTTAGGGCGGAAGTTAAAATGAGCTTCTAGGTAGACTTGCAAGTCTGGGTCCATCAGACACAAGATGGAGTTGGAGGTTGGGGTAGCATGAAATTTCAATGGCCTGTACAGAAGGGTTTTTTTGTTTTGTTTTGTTTTTTTGTTAATCCTCACCTGATGATATTTTTTCAACTCATTTTTAGAGAGAATGGAAGAGAGGGGGAGGAAGAGGAGAGAGAGAGATGTGGGAGAAACACATTGATTGATTGCCTCCTGCATGAGCCCCAACGAGGACTGGGGATTGAACCTGCAACCCTGGTACACTCTCTTGACTGGGACTGAACCTGCAACCCTTCAGTGCGTGGGCCACTG